CCCTCTGGCTTGAAAAAGTGCAGGTCTGCACTGTGTGAAAATATTCAAACAATTTAAATTGGAAGTCCTGTCGATCAAAAATCACAATCCAGCCAGAGGCATCAGATGGTCTGAATATGCTGTTGGCCAGTTTGATGTCTCATGATTTCAAGTTAAACCCTTTTTTCGCTCTACAGTCACTAACAGTGAACAGCAGAGTGTAAAACTTGTTGGAACAAACAAGTCATTGTCCAGAGAAACAGATATAATGGACCGTTAAGAAGGAAAAAATAAAGAGTTGGATGAATGCCTCGGGGGATAAGTGGAATGTAATGGATTCATTTTTTCCAAAATGATCTTATTATATATTTTAATAAAGAACATGGTCATTGACTGACCAATGGAACAGCAGCTGAGAGGAGATGAGTGATCTTTTGTTACAGGCAATAGTTGGACTTTTTGGTATAATCTTGTTCGCTTTTATTCCAAGAGTTAGCTGAAAAGATTGATGAGTCCCTTATGTTATGTTATGTTGAGTAAGCTTGGCTAGCAAATTGACAGGAAGCAGCTAGCCTGACTTTAAATGTTACTGCTTTAGGCCAAAACTAATTGTGGGCTGATAACCCCCGGTAAAACCATTACTCATTTAAAAAATGTTGTAAGAAATAAACAAGTATAATGTCTAATTGAGTGAGCTTTAGAGGTGCAGCAAAGCAAGTTTCCGAGCTAGGCTAGCTGTTTTGCTTCCAGTCTTTATGCTAAGCTAACCGTCTCCTGACTGTAGCTGTATATCTAAGATATGAACTGAGTGTTGCTAATGTTCTTCACTAACTCTTGCCAAGAAGTGATTGTGAGTCATTCCCAAATGACCACACTATTATGTGTTAGCAAAGGAGCTGGCAACAAGATGAAATATATTTTGCCAAAAGTACATATCCAAAACAATGTGTAAGTTTTGCTAAGTTAAAGACCATGGGTGATTTTATATGTTTTAGCCCATTTACTTCCTTCCAACCCTTTTCCAAAGCTTACCACTAGTTTATAGACTGATTGAGGCGTGGTGTTGGCATTTTATATTTCCGTAAGAGAAGCAGGCTAGATGAAGTCAAGTAGTTTGAAATCAAGACGATTTAGTAAGGAATAACGGTTTCCACTATACTGACTGTATAAAATGTTGTGATTTGGTGATAGTTCACTTTTTATCAAGGTTTTAGGTCATAAAGCAGCCGTAGAATCAGTAAGGAAGGTTGTGAGATGTTTACGGTATTCTGCTTTACTCAAGCACAAAGGAAAACGTGGAAGAGGTAAACATCGACTGGGTGAACGAAACGCATATAAACCTGCTCTGTTTCACAAGTTCTTGATGTGTGGTAAACTAATCTGACACTGTAGACCCAAAGCTTATAAAGTGTGACTTCTTCGAAAGAGAAGAGGTCAAGGTGCACTGATGTACAGATGAGAGAAAGTACAAACATGTGTAGACATTTTTATGCCGTGAAACACGTACCTTGGAAATTCGATATTTTTTATGTAAACATGACCGAGTTAAACCAGCCGTCCAAGTGTTAAAACAGGCATGCTTAATGCACACACACACACAGACACACACACATTAACAAAAGTGATGTAGTCCCTACATCGTTTCTGCTCATTTCCTGGTATCCTTGACAACAACATATACACAGCTGCATCAGCTCAAAGCCCTCTTCCCGAAAGACACACACACACACACACACACACACACACACACACACACACACACACACACACACACACACACACACACACACACACACACACACACACACACACACACAAAGCATTTCCAGCTGCAGAACAGAAGGCGAGTGTGAGAGCAACATGGATGGACTTAAATAAATAAGAGTAAAGTATGTGAGAGGCTAATGCAGTAAAACTAAATAAAACACATAAATTAAAAGATGAAACATATTGTGCCATATATTATAGGTGTTATAAGAGACCAGTAAAAATCGAAAAATGTAAACGCGAACATAACAGAGATGTGTGACTCACATCCTGTCTGCGCTCTCGGCCAAGAAGGGATTTAGGAATGATAAAAACGAGAGCAAGATTGAGGACAAACTGCAAAAAGGAGACAGAGGCAGACTCACATCGGGGCCTGGATCTCCGGGATCTCCGTCATCTCCTTTGGGTCCAGGGGTTCCCTTGCCTCCCTGAAGGTCACACAGCAAATTACAGGGGTCATGAGCGTGACAATTGATTTTACAATGTTGGCAGTGAACTTCCAACATGGCTGCTCATATTCATTGTTGATGTGTAAATGTATAGTACTGGGAAGTCCAATCTGAATTTAAAGCCTCCTATAATTCCATTATATTCATCCAAAATATATGCATAGAAGTTCAAATAGAAACTTGTAAGATAACTTACCGGCTCACCAGCATCTCCACGTGTCCCAGGATAACCCTAAAGAAAGACATACATGTTTAAAATGGTGTATGTGTCAAACATAACAAGCATTAACTGGTATTAACACTTACCTGGAAACCAGGACAACCTGCAGTACCATTTCCTGGTAAACCATCTTCTCCCTGAAATTAAGAAATGGTTACACTTACAGTTCAGACATACACACACACACAGCTCATGGTGGGGAATATGATGGATGGCACACATCTGTCTCCCACACTCACCCTCTCCCCGATCTGGCCTCTGTCTCCCGGAGCTCCTTTGATTCCTCTCGGTCCTTTGGGTCCCTTGGTAAGGAATGATAGGATTGGAAACATATGAAATGTGACATAACATGTTTTTGTTGAAGACATCTTGATGTTATCATACTCTGTGTGTGTCTATGCGTGTTTCTACATGTAGCGAAACAACTTTTAAAAGGTTTACAGCACAATAAATTATTGCGATCTGCTGCAGGGTATTGTTATCTGCTTTTATGATACTGTGTTTAATACCAACACATTCTCACTCCTAACTCTGCCTATGTTGACGTTATGTCAGGATCCCTTGGCGTCACTATCAAACGCAGTGGGGGCCCTTTAGCGTCAATATTCAACTAACAGGGAGTCCCATTGACTTGCATAGAGCTCCCTGAACGTTGGTAATAGACGAGTTGGGAACTGGGCAGTTGGGCACTGCCACTCAAACATACAATCACAGAGCTTGAGGACTAATCACAGGGTTTGTCAAGTAAAGCGGAGAGAATACTTACTTCCGGGTGTAAAATTCTCTAAAGCAACTACTATGAGCTGCTCTGACTGTCGGTCCTGACGGGCTCCAAAAGTCCGACATTATACAATCAAACAAATCAATAAACACAAGGATAATTGTGTCTTATTGTTGAGTAAATAACAGTGTGGTTTAGAGAAGAATAAAACATTTGAAGGAAAAAACGATGAAACAATACAGATTTCAGTATTCTGAGCCCCTACTCTCCCCCTAACTGACAGCAACAAAAGTCCGACATTATACAATTAAAATAAAGAAGTAAAAACAATAAGTGTGGACTTCTTTATTTTAATTGTATAATGTCGGACTTTTGTTGCTGTCAGTTAGGGGGAGAGTAGGGGCTCAGAATACTGAAATCTGNATTTGATTGTAATCTGACATTACTTCAAACATTTTAGCACAGCTAACACAAGTATTTGTTTGTATTAATTACTTTCTTTATCTCTTGAGTTACCATGTCCATTGGGGGAGGTCACTTCCTTGTTCAGCAAAGGGTGTGGCAGAGCGCTGAGGACTCATAAATACTGCAAGGAGCCAATTGGGACAGATTGGGAAAAACCACCTGCTTCCATGTCAAAGGGGGGATTTGGGTTTTGTCAGTGTCCTTTGTGTATGATGTGACTATTAATTATCCCTTGGGTTCAACGTGTATTGGCCAAGCCACTATATAGGTTCCTTGTTTTTTCATTGTAGGGGGTCGATGAGGAGCTCCAACCTGACATTGGGGACGACGAGCGGACGAACAACCCGGAAGTGGAAGTGAAGTCGGAGACGCGTGACAGAAAGCTCAGAGAGAATCGGAAAACTCGGATACATACAGAAACGGTAGCATTGGACTGTTATTTTTTGGCGGATTTGCATAAACTGTACATTGAGTGTTTCATCATGTCAACCAGCTCAGATGGTAGCCAAAGAGACGATATGGAATGGATGATATCCAAAGCTGCGAGGAAGAAAAGATCTTTGAAAGAAAGAGATAGTTCAGAAAGAGCTAGAAGGTGGTCGGATTGGTCGGGTGAAGCCGACAAGGCTAATCAAAGCAAAAAATCAAAAATCAGTCAAAGTGTCAGCCAAGCAATGTTGGATAAAGAACTAGAACACGAGTGGAAAGTTGTAATAGAATTCAATCAGGATGGTGGGCATTACNTGTCTTGTGATGCACTGTTGAGGAACAATCAATCAATAAATAACACAGAATTATTAAATATAAAAGAATTTGTGTGATTATACTAAATGATTTACAAATAAACACCACTGCATATTTACAACTGTTACACATGCTGATGTAACGCAAATGTTTCCAACTTGGGATCAATAAAGTATATCTTATCTTAAGATGATCGATGGCTACTGCCATATTTGCAAAATTTGCCTCTGAACCTTGACAAGTGCATGTTTCAGGCTTATCAATTAACAACAGGAGGGGTCACAGACATAAGACCAGCTGTTAAATAAAGCTCTTCTGACCTTAGCTGTCATGTGGGTATAATATATTAATGCTGCCCATTATGGGCACAAGGAATTTTCACCCATTTATTAATTATATGTTTTACATTTTGAGTGTTTCCTATCCCCTAAACCTCCAGGGATGTACACAGTTTAATACTGGCAACTTCTTATTATGGGAAATACGAAAACGTCTTTTAAAACTACAACTCCCAGTAGAGACTTGCCATAGATAGAGAACATGTTGCGAAACACAATAGCCAGCATGTGTAGTTCTGGGGACGGGGTGGGGGAGGGGGGGACGGGGTGGACCCGTTCAAATCCAGTTTTGGACAGTCTGCCGTGGTTCCATCCCAATTCAAAGTGCTGTTTGACGTTCGGCGTAACCCTCGGCGCACACTCAAACATCCAATCACAGAGCTTGATCACAGGGTTTGTCAAGCAGAGCGGCGAGAATACTTACTTTCGGGTGTAAAATTCTCTAAAGCAGCTACTATGAGCTGCTCCGACCCTCGGTCCTGACGGACTCCAAAAGTCTGACATTATACAATCAAACAAATCAATAAACACAAGGATAATTGTGTCTTATTGTTGAGTAAATAACAGTGTGTGGTTTCGAAAAGAATACAAAATTAGAAGGAGAAAACGAAACAATACAGATTTCAGTTTTCTGAGCCCCTACTACTATATGGTTATATTTTTATATATTCATGTGTTACGGAGAGCCTCAACACCATATCCAGGAGATAATGTCAGTCATTTCAAATAAAATAAATTATCCAGTGTGAATGCACCACTGGAAATACAGATTACATCACATAAAAAGGTTGCTGGTAATAATATTCCCTTTCAAAGAGGGCCACCGTAACCTTAATTCAATTACTAAATTGCAAGTTAAACTCACACTAGTCATTACTCTAAAAAAGTAATCACATTTCTGTAAGGCGTTACAAAATAATGTGTTCCTGTCAAACACAGCTCACAATATGGCAACAGGCAGGATCACAACATTATTTGTCAGAACAAGGACCAGACGTGTCTTATGGAGGTGGATCAGATCATCTCCTGAATTGGACAGCTAGTGTTGACAGATGCCTTCAGCTAAGCCCACAGGAAGATTGTGTCCATTTGTTTTCTTTCTAATTTTCAATTGTTCACTTTCCTTTTCCTTCAGTTTCTTCTTATACAGAATGCTTCCTCTCAAATGATCTATATATACAGTAGCAGACTGGACACAATCTCTAAAAGAGCTTAACGACAATGATTCTCTTTGCATGTATGAATGAGTGTTGTTCTGATAGAAAGGAATCTATAGCATTTGATATTGCGCCTGTTGTTATTAAACCCCTGCAGATGGTTAAGAAAGCCTCCCAGCATTTGAATAATTATTATATTTCCTCCAGTGGTGATTTGTTTTGAGTGTGCCTCATTTGGAGTTTGAGGGAAGCTCCTGTGTAAAATCAGCAGCCTGAAGCTCTGATTCTTGACGTGCATGTCAGAGGGCATCGGCCCCACGGTGCAGCAAGCTCAAGTCAGATATGTTACAGAAATCAGCGCACGGTCAGTTAGAGAGGCCTGAGGTCAACATCATGTTTATTAAGACTTCCTTTTCAGATGCAGATTTTACTGGTAACTGGCTCTGGGTCTCTTAGAACTGAGTTATTTGACATGTCTGCAGAGGGTACAGAGTTACTCAGTTCTAATATATTTATCATCTTTTATCCAACTTAATTCAAACATGGATCATTGAGCTTCCTGTACCACTGGAATCATTTTCGTCTGAAGAAGGTTCACTATTCCAAGCAATCAATACTTTGGTGTTGGAGTTTTGCTGTGTCGTTGAAATTGCGGCTGTGCAAATACAAGCTTGCAGGACTCAGCTTTTTACCATTTTAGTGCAAATCCAGTCAGCGGCAGCTTCCATGGAGCCTGTGACCATTTGTGACATGTAGTTATCCCAAATGACACAGTGGGAAATGAATTTGTCACTGATCTATGGATAGAAATGACAAGGAGACAAATCAATTTTTTTGTTTTTGTTAGTAGGAAAAATGGTCACCTTTTTCAGTTATGACTGATGCTGTAAGCCTTCTTCACGGCTAAAGATGGTCACAATACTCTATTCATAGGTCTACCAAGCAGTTAAAACACCAGTTAAGTTGCTGCTAGCCTCTACTGTATATTTAAGAGTTTTAAAAAGGTACCACTTGTATTACTGTATACAATACTGTAAAGACTAAACTAGTAATCTCCATCATTAATTTGTCTTCATCTTCGCTGCACAAGATATCCCAGAGTTCACAGTATATTTATCTTCTGCAAGAGTGGTTCAGGAAATGAGCAAATTAATGTTGGCTTTCGGCGGCAAATAAATAATAAAACATGGGATAACTGTTTTGCAGGTAGATCTTTGCTGAGACTTACACACAGTTGCAATACTGTAAAGGCTTTGTTTTAACCCAAGTTGAAAATAATTGGCAAATGTTCCACTGAACTCAGGACGGTCAGAGACAACCCTGTAATGCCACTATGTTCTAAGAAGTGATTCAATCTTTACTGATGTGCATTTTGAAAGATGCTGCGCTTGATTTGCTACTGAACTCCCATGACCAGAACTCTTTATAATGAGCTTAATGAAACCATTCCAATAACGAATCATTTCAAAAAACTACCTCTACTCTTTTAAAAAAAAATAGTGAAGCTTTTTTTCAACAGTTTAACACACAAGGCCAACCAAAAGGTTAAATTCTACATCTAAAGAAACCAGAATTGTCAAACTAAAATGCAACTGGATACAAGGATCAACTGACTAGTGTTATTAGAGTTATCAGTAATAAAAACAGTAAATGACTGATTTTTAAATATCGTTATGACTCATACTGTAGAACAAGAGACAGTGGAGGAGGAAACAAGCTGAGACATTTTTTTCTTTTTTTTTAAATGGTTGAACATTCAGCCTCATCTTGAAAGGTGTGGAAATGTACTGATTGACAAGCCAGATGTCCCCTCAAGCTCCTCCTTGGAACAGCAAGCACACAGCTGAGCTTAAGGAAGCAAGAATGTGAGGAGAAATGAGAAAATCC